ATTCTGCTCCTATGATTTTCTATTGAGTTGTTTAATTCTGAAATTTATTGTTAATCTTCTGGATTTCTGAGTGCTGTCTCTCTATGGATTCTTGCAGCCTGTTAAATTTGTCATTATGCTCTTCTCTAATCTTCTTAAGTTTCTCTGTTGATTGGTCTGCGTTTTGCGTAATTTCCTTCCTGATCTCTTGAAGAGTTCTGTATATTAATCTTTTGTATTCTGCCTCCGGTAATTCCAAGAAATTCTCTTCCTCTGGAAAATTTCTTCATTCTTTATTTTGGGAGCTTCCTGAAGCCATCATTGTCTGTCTCTTTATGTGATTTGATATTGACTGTTGTCTCGTAGTCATCAATAAGTTATTATATTTCTTTATTTTATGTTTGCTTACTGTGTCCTCGCTTCTTGTTTTGTTTTGTTTTGATATGCCCAAATAGGTTGCTCATGTGTGCTAATTTGATTATTGGTGGTTTGAAGCTCTAACATCCTGTCATCAGGTGGTTAGATCTCTTATTAGGTATGTGAGCCCAGGAGTCTGTTTACTTTTCTTGTATGAATTCAGCTCCAATGTCCAGGTAGTCCATCATCAAGTGTGTGGTGCAGGTTCTCACCTATAGTCTTAGACAGGCATGGGTGATTGGTGTAGGCACAGACATCTGGCTTCAGTAGGGGGTCACGAGTGAGCAAGGCAGGGTTCTGAAGGCTGTCCTGAGCATCTGGAAGGAATGTGTGTCCCTATTCCCTAGAGCCCTTAGGTGCGTCAGTTTCTCAGCTGGACTATGAGCACCCAATGCTGTTGGCTTGTAAGGACTGGGTGGCACCACTTATTCTTGGACCTCTGTCACAGGTGGCTAGGTGATGTGGGTGAAGCCACCAGTCCTCAGGCCCCTGATTTGGATAATTGAGGACCCTGCTTAATGTGCAGAGCAGTGTCAAATGTCAGGTGACATTTGACCTGCCACTTCACTATATAGCTAATACAGTTGGAGTTAGACTTCAGGTATATACCCTGTTGTACTGTGGTAATGAGGGCCTAAGCTGTTGAAATGGACCCACACAGGTCTATGCAAAGGTGAAAGGCATTCAAATTCTGTGGACCCCTTATGCCTATTCTTACGCAAAGGAGCTGTACCTCCCTTGAGTTCCTGGCTTAGGGGAGCCAGCAGCTTATTTTTCCCGTTTGTTAATTTGTTCCCTCTCCAAGGCCAGGAAAATGGCTCAGGGTGTGTAACAGGTTGTACTTCCAGCCCTTGGGACTCAGCAGTCTCTGAAGCTGGCCCAGGACCTGGTGCAGAGTGGGGAGGGGGCAGGTAAATGGGAGACAGGTTTTTCCCAAAGGGGGTGTTTTTTGATCTGCACGGTAGGTCAGGCGCATGTACTTACCTTTTGCTGACTGAGCACTGCTTTTCACTGGTTCTGGATGCCTGAGTAGACTCTCTGCTGCTGGCTCTCTCCTGATGTGGAAAACACCTCCCGAGTGCCACTGCTTGCCTCACCATACATGCCAGCCTATCCAGCTTGAAGGGCATCAGCTCCTGCCAGGTTAGGTCTGGCAACTCCTCGCTGTTTCTGAACCATCTCTACCTCCCCATGCCACTCAGGCTGATTCCTCAACTTTGTTTGCCTTTGATGTTCAGGGTTCCTAGATTGTCATATATAATTGATTCATTTGTTTTTTCAGGTCTTTGTTGTAAGAGGGACCACAGGATGTGTCTTGACTACTCCACTATCTTTGCCCCGCCTCTATGGTATTTAATTTTCATGAAAGTTCTTTGGAAGGTTGAAAAGAAAATATGATTCTGTCCACATTTTTTTTGTATGTACTTGACCCATGTTGTGATATTTAAAATTTTTCTGTGAAAATAATGTTTTTATAAAACTGTCATTGTGTTTCTAAGAGATTTTTTAAAATACGTACATTTTGGCTGCTATGTGATTAGATGCATACAGACTCATGATAACTGTGTCTTCATTTTGGGTATTAAAGACTAAAACTCCTCAACCTGCCCTCCAGGTCCCAGGCCACCTGCCCTCAAACCCTCCTGCCTCACTGTCCTCCAGTCTTCTCTTCCCTCTCCACTCATCACTCTGGCCTTCTTTCAGTGCTCAAACACACCTGCTTCATCTGCCTCAGGACCTTTGCACATGGGTTACCTTCCTTATCTAGCTAATGCTAACTCTGCCTTCATGTCCAAATTCAGACCTCATTTTGTCATTCTAAATTCAATCTAGACTACACAATCTAAATTCAGCACTGCTTTAAATGTTTTTATGGTTTCCTGTAGCTTTCCTTCTTTGTACTGATCACAGTTGGAAAATCTGTTCTCATTACAATGGTATAGTCTAGTGTAGTTTAGTTTAGTATAGTGTAGTATAGTATAGTGTAGTGTGGTATAGTATGGTGTAGTATAGTATAGTGTAGTACAGTGTAGTGTAGTATAGTGTAGTATTGTGTAGTAGAGTGTAGTGTAGTAGAGTGTGGTGTAGTGTAATGTAGTGTAGGGTAGTAGAGCATAGTCTAGTATAGTGTAGTGTAGTCTAGTGTAGTGTAGTACAGTGTACTGTAGTGTAGTACAGTGTAGTATAGTCTAGCGTAGTATAGTCTAGCGTAGTGTAGTCTAGTATAGTGTAGTCTAGTGTAGTGTAGTGCAGTATAGTGTAGTATGATACTACAGTATCAGAGTACATTATCTGTCTCTCCTGCGGTTCTATAAGGTCCATGAGGTCATGTATTGATGCCATTTTGCTCACTAGTGTATCTCCATTTATTAGCACAGTGACTGGCCCATAGAAGGCATGACCTCCTACTATGTATAAATACTCACTATCAAGGAACTCACCCACCTGACTACAGTCCCTGGAGAGGGAGGTAATTTAAATTGAATCTCTCAGTTTCCAACAATGGAGGGAAAAAAGAATATGTATATGTATATATATATGTAAATACAGTGGCATCATGGGGAAAGTGTCACTGCACTGTGTGACACCGTCAGAGGGGGTGACACCAAAATGACTCTTTATAAAATTTCTGTGCAGTGTTTCTGAAGAAGTTTATTATTTTTTAAAAAGTATCCCTGTAGTTTGTTATAACAACAAAAACACTTTTGTAAGCCCAGCTTACATGTATCAATATACCTACAAGGCTGAAACTCTATGCTGATTTATTTTTTGAACCTTCTAATACCATCTGGAATTAGTGGTTAAGTGCTACGGCTGCTAACCAAAAGGTCGGCAGTTCAAATCCACCAGGCACTCCTTGGAAACTCTATGGGGCAATTCTACTCTGTCCTATAGGGTCGCTATGAGTCGGAATCTACTTGTCGGCAACGGGTTTAATGTCCTCCAGTCAGAGCTGTCATTATTACCCAATTACAGTGATGCTTCAAATCACATGATTTTGTCTGCACGTACTAGAAGTACATGCTGTAGTTTTCATTGCTGCTGGTGTTTTTATAGTCACTGATTTTGTCAAATTTTCCAATGTTTTAGCTACACTATTGTGGTGATTTGGAAACCCTGGTGGCCTAGTGGTTAAGTGCTACAGCTGCTAACAAAAACGTCAGCAGTTGGAATCCACCAGGCACTCCTTGGAAACTCTGTGGGGCAGTTCTACTCTGTCCTATAGGTCACTATGAGTTGGAATTGACTCGACTGTAACGGGTTTGGTTTTTCCGTTTATTGTGGTGATTAACATGGGGTGGGGGTTGACACCATGAGTTACCATACTGGGTGACACCAACCCTAGTGATACTGCTGTGTAAATACATAAAACAAAGCATCTATCTTCTATTCTGACTGCTGCTTCTTCCACCTTCTATAAGTACAGAAATGTATGTAGGAATAAGTATGTGGGGTTTTCACACGACTTACATTCCAATTTTACCGAACATGTCTTGATTTCGGTGACTGAGCCAGAAATCTTGCACCTTGCCCTTTAAGCTGTTTATGAATTTATGAACTTTTTTTTCCTTCAGCTTTTGAATAACTTCTTCAAGGACCCATTTCCAGAAGAATTTTTGATCCTCTTCAGAAACTGGATCAATGACTCAAACCCTTCAGTGAGCAAACTGAGCCTGCAGAAAATTGCCAGCATGGCACCAGTTATTAATGAGGTAGGTGTGTGTGTGTGATTTGTGTCTTCCAGCACCATCAAAGTCAGAATCTGAGACTGTGATATTGCTTAATAACCTTTTGTGTAAAATATGAACATTTTTCAGTTTCTATATAGCAAAAACATTATCAAAGACTAGTGTTTTATCAATAAAGAAACTGCACTGAAGGGAAGGGATGTCTTAAGTCAGCTGAGCAGCTTTATCACTTTATTTATGTTTTTCCCCAGAAAATCATTCATTTCACTCAGAACTTATTTATCAGCATTGTCCTGCACAAACACTTTCCTTAGGACAGTCTGAACCACATACACACATAAGTTAATTCCCCCTCAACACACACACACATCCATACATGTGAATTTCTATCTCAGAACACTCACAATTTTTCTTCCACTCATAGTACTTGTCTCCAACACCTATACATATTTACACTTTTTATTCTTTTTCTCTCATGATCTTGAGTTGAACTTCACTGCATAATCTGATCTCCAGCAGCCTCATCTCACTCAGAGCCGCGTCAGCTATGAGCACTTGTTTATATAATATTTTTGCATCAGTGAATGCCAAAGTATGGTTCCTGAACCAGCAGCATCAGCATCAGCATCACCTCGGAACTTGGTTAAAAATGCAAATTGTTGGGCCCCATCCCAGACCTACAGAGTCAGAAACTCTGGGGGTGGCACCCAGAAATCTGTGTTTCAAAAAGTCTTCCAGGTGATTTTAATACAAGTTAAAGTTGAGAATCACTGTCTTACATTATTACCCACTCTGTCATGTGAACACATTTTGCCTTCCAGGTAGATTGAATCTAGGCATGCCCCTATGTTTTATAAGCTCTTATAAATTCCAAGGTACCTTGCACAAAGCTGAGAGTATATATGTTCCATAAATCATCCTTGATTTAATAAATCTAATAATAAATTCTTGTTTATATATTGAGCATAGACTCTGAAACTTAAAGCCTGTCAGTGGACACCCATTTTACATTTAGAATGAAATGAGCTATGGACTGTTTGCCTTAAATAAATCATAGAAGTCAGTGGATTTGTTAACAGTGTAAACTCTTAAGCAGCAGGTTCTTTATTGCCTGGTCCAACACCCTTCTCAATGTTATTAACAACTGACAGGAAGATTCTGTGGCAAGGTCAGCCAGCAATGTGAGAGAGAAGTTCTTGTTTTAGATGCCATCGAGTCTCTTTGGACTCATATCAGCCTCATGTAACAGATTAGAACTTCCCTATAGGGTTTTCTTGACTGTGTAATCTTTACATCTTTCTCCCTCGGAGCCACTGGGTGGGCTGGAACCCCCAACCTTTCCGTTAGCAGCCATGCACTTAACTGTTGCGCTACCAGGGCTCCTTGAGAGACAAGTAGTGGAGAATAATCTGGGCTGAAGTTTTGCATACTATCAGTAAAGACTCAACTCTCCAGCCAAGATACAAGCAGCCTTTAGCCCTGATATAGTCCATTTCTCTTTTTTTTCTACTTAAAGCTATTATTTTGACAAATACTATCGATTTAATGAACATTTCTTTCCTTCACTTCTTTTATTTCCTGTCTTTCCTTCTCTTATTTGATGCCTTCTTGTCATGTTTTTCCTTGCTTTTTATTCTGAGTTTGATCTGCAATTGACTGTCTTGGCTTTGTTCAGTGGCTCAGTGGCTCTCATCCAAAGAGGTCACTACCACCCACCTACTTTAGAGGTCATCCTGCCAGTGGTATGTTGGTAAATCTTCAACAACCGGCTCCACAGAAAAAGAGGCCAATTTTCCTGGTGTAAATACTTGGAGGCTGGTTTCAAGCTGTTAAAGCAACATCACTAATGGAGGAGTTGGGAAGAGATTCACAGGAGTACACTATTATTAATTAATTCCACCAAGACAGACAAATAGATGTAAATAACCCCTTGTTGTTGCTGTTGGCTGCCATCAAGTTGGCCTCCAACTCATGATGACCTCGTATGTTACAGAGTAGAACTGCTCCATAGGGTTTTTTCGGCTATAATCTTTACGGAACCAGTTAGCCATGCCTTTCTTTCAAGGAGGTGCTGAATGGGTTAAAACCACCCACCTTTTAGGTTAGCAGCCTGATTGCAAACCACTTCCACCACCCAGGCTCCCTAAATAAGCTCTGTTGTTATTGTTGTTAGGTCCCATCAAGCCAGTTCCAACTCATAGCGACCCTATGTACATCAGAATGAAACATTGCCCGGTCCTGCACCATCCTGACAATCATTGTTATATTTGACCCCATTGTTGCAGCCACTGTCAATCCATCTCATTGAGGGTCGTCCTCTTTTTCGCTAACCCTCTTCTTTACCAAGCAAGATGTCCTGCACCAGGGACTGATCCTTCCTGATAACATGTCCAAAATATGTGAGACTTAGCCTTGCTACCCTTGCTTCTAAGGAGCATTCTGGCAGTACTTCTTCCAAAACAGATTTGTTTGTTCTTCTGGCAGTCCGTGATATATTCAATATTTTTTACCAACACCATAATTCAAAGACGTCAATTCTTCGGTCTTCTTTATCCATTGTCTACCTTTCTCATGCATATGAGGTGATTGAAAACACCATGGCTTGGGTCAGGGGCACCTTAGTCTTCAAGGTGACATCTTTGCTTTTGAACACTTTAAAGAGGTCTTTTGCAGCTGGTTTGCCCAAAGCAATGCGTTGTTTGATTTCTTGACTGCTGCTTCCATGGGTGTTGATTGTGCTGCAAGTAAAATGAAATCATTGACAACTTCAGTTTTTTCTCCGTTTATCCTGTTGTTGCTTATTGGTCTAGTTGTGAGGATTTTTGTTTTTTTTTTTTTTAATGTTGAAGCGTAATCCATACTGAATGCTGTAGTCTTTGATCTTCATCAGTAAGTGCTTTAAGTCCTCTTCACTTTCAGCAAGCAAGGTTGTGTTATCTGCATCATGCAAGTTGTTAATGAGTCTTCCTCCAATCCTGATGTCCCGTTCTTCTTCACATAGTCCAGCTTCTCGGATTATTTGCTCAGCATACAGATTGAATAAGTGTGGTGAAAGGATACAACACTGACACACACATTTCCTGACTTTAAACCACACAATATCCCCTTGTTCTGTTTGAACGACTGCCTCTTGATCTATGTACAGGTTCCTCCCTCATGAACATGGAATTCCCATTATTCACAATGTTACCCATAATTCGTTATGATCTACACAGTCGAATGCCTTTGCATAGTCAATAAAACACAGATAAACATCTTTCTGGTATTCTCTGCTTTCAGCCAGGGTCCATCAGACATCAGCAATGATATTCTTGGTTCCAGATCCTCTACTAAATCTGGCTTGATTTTCTGGCAGTTTTCTGTCGACGTACTGCTGCAGCCACTTTTGAATGATCTTCAATGAAATTTTACTTGTGTGTAATATTAATGATATTGTTTGATAATTTCCGCATTTGGTTGGATCACCTTTCTTTGGAATGGGCACAAATATGGATCTCTTCCAGTCAGTTGGTCAGGTAGCTGTCTTCCAAATTTTTTGGCATAAACGAGTGAGTGCTTCCAGCACTGTAACCATTTGTTGAAACATCTCAGTTGGTATTCTATCAGTTTCTGGAGCCTTGTTTTTCCTCAGTGCCTTCAGTGCAGCTTGGACCTCTTCCTTCAGTACCTTCGGTTCCTGATCATATGCTACTTCCTGAAATGGTTGAATGTTGAACAGTTCTTTTTGGTATAGTGACTCTGTGTATTCCTTCCATCTTCTTTTGATGCTTCCTGTGTCGTTTAATATTTGTCCCATAGAATCTTTCAATATTGTAACTCAAGGCTTGAATTTTTTTCTTCAGTTCTTTCAGCTTGAGAAATGCCTAGTGTGTTCTTTCTTTTTGGTTTTCTAACCCCAGGTCTTTGCACATGCCATTAAAATACTTTACTTTGTTTTCTCAAGCCACCCTTTGAAATCTTCTGTTCAGCTCCTTTTCTTCATCATGTCTTCCATTTGCTTTAGGTACTTGACATTCAAGAGCAATTTCACGGTCTCTTCTGACATCCATCTTGCTCTTTTCTTTCTTTCCTGTCTTTTTAATGACCTTTTGCTTTCTTCATGTATGATGTTCTTGATGTCATTCCACAACTCGTCTGGTCTTGGATCATTAGTGTTCAATGCGTCAAAGCTGTTCTTGAGATGGTCTCTAAATTCAGGTGGGATATACTCAAGGTCATACTTTGACTCTCATGGACTTGTTCTAATTTTTTTCAGCTTCACCTTAAACTTGCACATAAGCAATTGATGGTCTGTTCCACAATCGGTCCCTGGCCTTGTTCTGACTGATGATATTGAGCTTTTCCATTGTTTCTTTCCACAAGTGTAGTCGATTTGATTTCTATGTATTCCATTTGGCGAGATCCAAGTGTATAGTCACCATTTATGTTGTTGAAAAAAGATATTTACAATTAAAAAGTCGTCTGTCTTGCAAAATTCTACCATGGCATCTCGGGCATGGTTTCTATCACCAAGGCCGTATTTTCCAACTATCGACCCTTCTTTGTTTTCAACTTTCGCATTCCAATCACCAGTAATTATGAATGCATCCTGATTGCGTGTTTGATCAATTTCAGATTGCAGAAGTTGGTAAAATTCTTCAATTCCTTCATCTTTGGCCTTAGTTGTTAGTGTGTAAGTTTAAATAATAGTCGTATAAACTGGTCTGCCTTGTAGGCACATGATTATTTTCCTGTCACTGACAGCATTGTGGTTAGATCTTGAAATGCTCTTTTTGACGATGAATGCAACACCATTCCCCTTCAGCTGTCATTCCCGGCACAGTAGACCATATGACCGTCCGATTCAAAAGGGCCAGTACCATTCCATTTCAGCTCACTAATGCCTAGTACACTGATGTTTATGCGTTACATTTCATTTTTTGACGAATTTTAGTTTTCCTAGATTCATACTTCATACATTCCACATTCCAATTATTGATGGATGTTTGCAGCTGTTTCTTCTCATTTTGAGTCATACCACATCAGCAAATGAAGGTCCCGAAAGCTTGACTCCATCCATGTCATTAAGGTCAACTCTGCTTTGAGGAGGCAGCCCTACTCCAATCATCTTTTGAGTGCCTTCCAACCTGAGGGGCTCATCTTCCAGCACTATACCAGACAATATTCTACAGCTATTCATAAGGTTTTCACTGGCTAAATCTTTTCAGAAGTAGACCGCCAGGTCCTTCTTCCTAGTCTGTCTTAGTCTGGAAGCTCGGCTGAAACCTGTCTGCCAAAGGTGACCCTGCTGCTATTTGAATACCAGTGCATAGATTCCAGCATCACAGTAACATGTAAACCTCTACAGTATGACAAACTGACAGGTACATGGGGGAAATAAGCTCTAGAGCATAGATAATAGTAAAATATAGCAAAATAATTAGAAAGTGATAAATTTTGAGTACTTATTACCATTGTTTTTATTTAATAAAAAGTTTATATAGTTTAATTTTAATAATAATGGCTCTTTTTAACAACTAGCTCACAAAATTTTTGACAATTTGATAATTGGCTCTTGTGAGCCAGTCCAGCACACTGCTGCCTATTTCCCAGACTCAGAGGTGTGCATACACAATGCTAGCTCAAGTCTCCTTCTAGTTCCAAAATTACACCATTCTCCTCCTTCTATCTGTAGATAGAAAATATCTGCAGCTTAATATTGTCCATCCTGGATGCCTTCCTTTCCAAAGAGAAGACTGTAGTAATTCGAGCCTTGATCACCCTCCGAAAACTTTTAGAAAAACTGGACAAGGTGACTTACTCCTCCCTGTGCACCAGAATTGCTTCCAGCTACTGTCCTCTGATGGATCATGTGAGTTACACAGTTAGATATGTGAGATTATTAGGTTTTGCAGATCAGCTGAAGCCCCAGGGGAGGCAATGGTATCATATCCCAGAATACATCAATAGAAAATGGTCATTTTGTGCAGAGCCACCATTTCTTTTCCAGAGATTCTCAGTATTAGTCACTTAAAAGCACTGTCCTTTTTTCTTAACTACACTATGAGAACCTAGAAAAGTCTGTCCATAAGAAAGAAGAATGAAAGAACAGCCTCTTTCTTTGGACCAAAGAGAATGTATAACTTAGTTAGTGGTGGTGGTATTGGTTTCCTTAGAATAGTTTCTGACTCAGGGTGACCTCAAGTGTGCAGAGTAGAACTGTTCCATGGAGTTTTCAAGGCTGTGACTTTTCAGAAGCAGATCGCCAGGTCTGCTGTCCAAGGGGCCACTGGGTGGGTTCAAACCACCAACTTTTCAGCAAGTAGTCATACACTTAACCGTTTTCGCCACCCAGGAACTCCTAAGTATAACTTTGTTGTTGTGTGCTGTTGAGTCACAGCAACCCTCTTGACACAGTAGAACTACCCCCATAGGGTTGCCTAGGCTGCAATCTTTACGGGGGCAGATTACCAGGTTGTTTCTCTCTCGGAAATGCTGGTTGGGTCTGAATACTGACATTTCAGTTAGCAGCTGAGTGCACCACCAGGGCTCCTAACTTAGAGGCTATAAATTTATTTGCTCTGGATCTGGACTGCCTAGGTTCAAATCCCTATTTTGCCTCTTAATAGCTGTGGGATCTTAACCAAGTGATTTAATCTCTTTGTGCATCAGTTTCCCAGTCTGTGAAAGACAGTAACAGGTTTATTATGGGGATTAAAGTTGATATGTGCAACGCCCCATGTAAGTGTTTATTATTTTCATATAAAAATTCAATGAAAAATATGTCATCAGAAAGCTGTGCATTTTGAAAATTCTTATACTATATGGCAAATGTGTTCCAGAATAGTTGGATGACGGCAATATATGTTAATAAATAAGAACACTTTGATATGTTATGGGGTATCAATTTATTCTTAAAGACTTCTGTGATAAATTGTTTCTGCACCAGAGAATTATTCCGTAATACTGCTAAAATGTATAAATTCTTAATTATTCAGATTTCACTGAAGAAGGAAAAATATTATTAAATTACAGGAAGAAGGAATTTAGTGACAAAAATGATTTTCATAAGAACATGATGATGATGATAACAATAATGGCTAAAATTTATTGAGTACTTACTATGTACCAGGCACTGTTCTAAGGGACGTATATGAACTATATACTATAATCCTCTCAGTAACCCTATTATTGTTATCCCTTGTTTAAAGATGAGGAAACTGAGGCAAATAAAATGTAAATAATTTGGCCATGGTCATACAGCTAACTAGTTGAATATCTGTGTAAAAAAATATTTTCAAAATGAGTTCATGAACATTTCTTAAAAAATTAAAGGTAATATTATGTATTTAAAAAATAACCTGCTTTGATACACAGAAAGTAAGGGAATATGTAAAAACCAAACCAAACTTACAAGAATTATTAAAGGGAGTCCTTCAGTCTGAGAACAAACAACATCAGACCACAGGCTGACTCTAGGACACAGGAATGGACCAGCCAGATACCAGTCTAAGAAATGAACTCTCAAGGACTATTCAAAACCAAAAGAAATACAACAGGGAATCAGAGAAGTTAATCTGTAAGTGACAACAACATCAGAACAATAGAAGAGGGAATAAACAGTGTAGGTATAGAACCTTCTAATGGAGGGGAAGGCAAAGTGATACCAAGTAACATTAGGCTGCTTCAAACTTAGGAAGATAAG